CTTATCTATGCCAGGCATTTGCTGAGACATGGGGTGGGGGTGTATGCGTCGCAAGAAGTCAACTATGCATGATGAACTTCTATTACTTTTAACTTCTCATGACGAGCTTCTACCTATACAAGTTGTTCCTCAAAGCAAGCGATACCAGTCATTCACTTCTATGATTGAATAGGACTGGTAGTCATAGGTTTTGATAGCTAGTAGAGTTCAATAGCATTCTTGTCCCCGACGTCTTATACTATACTCTTTCTCAATCCACTGCTTCTTGTAACGCGAATCGCGCAGTAGTCGCGGTCAAGGTGTTCGCCATCGTTCAATCGCGTTCATCGTAGCGAGACGAGAGCGGACCATCATTGCCTCTCACTGAAGCATCGCCGACGGTCGGGGTCGGTAGGTCTGCGTTGCGCTCGAGATCTGAGCGCGATTGCAATCTCCTCCGGCGGGGTTATCTCACCAGCGCTGACATAATTTGTCGTATACGTATCTAGCCGGTTTTTCCACGCTCCATACACACATTGGCGCATTTGGCGCTGTCACTGATTTTCACTCGATTCCCTCTCTCTGGGCATTGTAAAGACCAGATAGATGCGAGGCGCGCGAGAAATAGCGGTTTCGTCGCGCGGGTTGCCCTTGGCATTGCCAAATCTGGCTTAAAGCCAAGTGATTCTGAGCATGTTTTCAGTCTGATCTGCACTTCATTGAATAAGTTCTCGAAAAATTGCGAATGAGCGCAAACAGTGCGACTTTCACTTCTTACCCCCCCCCCCTCTGTTCTCATATGTGTGTCTTTTCGGCTCTCACGCAGCGTTAGCCTAACGTATCGTAGCACCTTTTGCACCATTGCCCATAACTATGCACCTTCAAGAGAATGTCTTTTTTTGTTCAAAATTTCGTCATTTGATACTTTTTACCGGTCTTGATAATGACAGTTTTGAGCGTATAAAAACGAATTATTCTGGAGATAACGTTCTCTTTTCACTTTAACATAGCTGACTATCACTTTTGATAGTGTTACATTCTCCAGCATACTTTATACTTTGTTTCTCTTGTTTATTACGTCTTTCTCTGAATACGGTTGAAACTTTCTTTGCGGTACATGAGTTTTGATTGAGCCATAAGTCTTCTCTTCCGTTCATCGTTTCCAGAACAATGGACTAGGAGGCAATATTCCAACTTCTTGTTACTCATTCTTGTATCATTACCCATTCGGAGTCTGAAAGCTAGTAGCTACAGTACTTAGGAGCTAGTAGCTTTGACTATTATTGCCTTGATGTAGTGTGGAAGTGTATAGTCCTATACCCTCAGTCACGAAAGTTCTTTGTGAGTTTATGAGCGAAAAAGTTTTTCCAGGACTTAAAAAAACGCTTGGCAGCTTTTTAGAGAAAACAGCGCAATTGAACAATAATAATGAATTACTCATGTCCCTGAGGTTCTTCATAATTGTTTTGCTCAAATCACTATTTTTTAAAGATCTCGAAGAAGGAATCCAGCAAAATCCAACAGTACAATTATGTGAAATACGCCAAGTTTTATGAATAGTAACGGCCCTTATAAGAAGGGAATGTAATTGGTCTTTTGAAATTTGGGTAGATTTCGCTATAGCTGCTAATGACTCATTTTCAATGCCATCGGCTGAGCTGTCAGATTATAGTCTGTGTAGGTAAAGCATTGAATGTTACAAGAAACTTCTTCAGCAAATCAAGATGTTTGATTGTGACTAGGTTTGACTCACAAAGTCATGCAAATTCTTTTTTTATGGAAAAGAAAGGTCTTAATTGAAAGAAGAGAAGAAGCTTTTGCGGTGAATAATAATCTTCAATTTCGCCGAATTTTCTATAGAAATTAGCCCCTTCGCCAACCTAGTTTCTGAAGCTTCTATCGTGAAAGCTTGTATAGGAGAGTGAAGCGCAGCCACTCATAATCCACTTTCCGAGCGCAAACTTTTTTAATACTTTATTGCGCCATAATTGTTGATGCTGTGCCGCAGTCTCCATTAGAGAGAGAAACTTCTGTGTGCCGCTGGAAGGCAATTATAGCTAAGTGGTGGCAGGAACTCTTGGAAACACTTGTATGTTTTGAAGTCCAAGGTCTCCTAAGAGATCGAGTAAAACCGGCAAATTCTCTGTGAATGTCGCCTTCTGTTGCTGTGCAACTAGCGTTTTTCGATGAGTTTTATTTGTCGTAATTGACAGAGATTTCGCAAATTTGCGCAGAAGTTTGTCTAGACGCTTTTTTTGGATTCCCCTTTTTTTCTGGCAGATCATCGGAGCCTAATGATGATATGCAAGGCGGATCCATCCTTGAGGTTCTTTGCGCTGGTGCCCGGTTTTCTGCTGCGAGCCCCTAATGCATTCATTCGTCCATTCTTGAGCGGATACATATGCGTGTATCCATTCAAATGACGCTCTGCTGCAGTCAAATCCTTGCCCTTCGTCGTCTCGCGTCACCTCGAATTGCCCTAACCAAAGTTCTGTCCTAAAAATCGTGCATTCCTTTTCTGTTTCAGCCATTTTTTCCGTCTGGCCTCTTTTTCTTATTGTCAATTGTCTGGAAAGTGAAACGAATCTGAATGCTGCTGAACTGCAATTGACGCGAACGAGGGCGTTGACCGGAACGCGGCGGTCAAAGGGCGCGTCGCTAATTGGAGCTAATTGGCCGAGACAGCCGAGATGTGTAGTAGTAAAATACCAATGCGCAATTATATGTGATTGATTCGACGATTGATGACGATCTGTTATATCTGACTCGATCTGTTCTATTTTCTGAAATTTTGACTTGAACCAAAATTTTGAGTAGAACTCAACAAAATCGGAACTTTTAGCTTGTTCTACCTATGTCAAAGAGCAAAAAGTATAGGAAATGGTCATATCAGATCTGTGATAGTCGTCAATGAGCTCATTATTCTGAAAATTGACTTCATGCATCCAAACTAAAATCAGAAATCAAGCATGCACAGAGAACGGGTAAGCTTTAGGCTGCTTTTTGTTCATACTGCTCTTTGGGGACTAGTGATTGACTTCTGAAAAATACACACGTCACTTATTTCCATAAAAAAAAGCCTAACTATTTTATAAGCAGAGAGTGCTACCGCTATAAATGATATAGCAAAAATGGCATTCTAAACGTACTAAATATTTTAATTTTGAAGTGTTAAGAAACTTCCCAACTTTTTCGATGAAATCAATTAAACTTTTTACCTTTGTTTTTATCTCTGTTAATTGCCGCAGTATGCGCTCGTTCATCAGGAAAACTCAGTTTCAACAAAATTGAAACATATGCCATTGAGGCTAATTCAAATCCTTGGAGTCTTTGCGCTTTCTTGTAAATCCTGCTTTCCATTCATTTCATGTCTCATTGATCCACGAACCGTCGTTGGCTGGTGGTGGGTGCCAGATTGATGAACTATAAACAAAGAAAAGGGTTCATGTCATGTGTTTGCTATATCCTATCTGGACGTCCCAGCTCCCTCATATCTGAAGTCTACCAAATCCAGTTCGTAGGTTAATGAAGCGGTAAGGATCAAGATTTTTTTTTGAACAACTCATTAATCTCTGCTCCTGCCGATTGTTCTGTCCTAATGATGAACACTGGCGCTTTTATTGTTCCAGCTTTCTCTTTTTTTTATACGGCTTTGTGGCTTACGAGCATTGGTCTCCAGAAGAGATGTAGCAGCTCTATACATAGTACAGTAACATCATTAAATATAAACTATGACTTGCTTTTTATTCTGCATATCTTCTTTCTGTCGCTCTGCAAACCTTCAAAAGTTTGCAGAATTGACTGGAACCATGTAATGGTCAAACTCATAAGAATGCATGAATTCTCATAACTTTTTGAAGTCGTCAGCTAGTTCTGTGTACCTTTGTCCACGCAATAATAATGTTATATCTCTTCGTTTGTGAGTGGATCCATTCTTTCATGGACAAATGCTGTCAAGAGCTATAAAAGGAGCTGCACATCTTACACAGTAGTGCAATGTTTTTCTTTTGGAATGCTTGTATGTACTAACACCTCCATTGGATGGTTCCTCTTTAATGTTTGCTTTCAACTTGCGGATCATGTTCTGCCTGACTCGAGTGCCAATATCCAGCGAATAAGCTTTTGGCAAAAAAAATATCGAAATAAAGTGCCAAATACTAACTAAAATTTTATTTCTTTGAAGCGCTGCTATAGAAAAAACTGAATTTTTCCTAGTATTTTCTTATTGTACATCTTTCCATTGTTCTTTTGTGGCATGGTCGTATATTTTCAGTAATAGCTGTATATTTACGCCTATAGTGCATTCTAATTTTATGCATTTGCTAAGCTATCACGTTCAAATTGCCTCACTTTTGATTTTCTGCATTTTGAAGAGGAATCTTTCTTTATAGTCCTTCCATGATTTTAGAAAATTGCGGTAGATTGATTAGCTTTTTCATTCAAGATCTTTCCTTTGCATTTACCTTTGGAGAAAGTGGGTTAAGAGCTGCTATATGGTTTACAAGAGCACTTCATTGGGATAATAATGCTGGTATAATCTTAGGAACAGGATATTTCGTATGAGGCATAGCTATTCTTTTTGATTTTCACATTGGTTGTCGGAAATCGTTTTTCCTGCCAGTGTTGACTATTAGTTGTCATGTTGCTAAGGAGTAGTTCTTCGTCCACTTCTTCAATATAAGTGGAGTTTGAAGAAGTTTTGTTGCCCCTTGCGCTCACAACTCCATGTTTGTCCATGCGTTCTCTGCTACAAAAGATCGTACCTCGAACGTCTTTTCCTTGCAAGTCACAATTTTGCGCATGTAATATGACAGATCCAAGGTCAAAACGTTCACGATCTGTTTGCTATTATATGACATGAGCACCACTTAACCCTCTGCCTTGACATGGATCAATCGCACGGTTAGATGTGAATATCAGTCAATTATGTGTGTTTTTCGAATGATTATGAAATCGAAGCAGATTTAATAATGTCCCTGTTATTGCCGAATTTATTGAAATATCCAATTGTTCGACTATAGGAACGATAACAACGACAAAGAGCCGCGTTTTGGTCGCTCGCCTTTGGCCATGGGTGCGTCGTTATCTACGCCGTCTCCAGTGCGTGCCCTAATCGGACAGTTTGATCGTCTACAGCTGTGTAGCAAGGATAAAGATGATGTGGAAAAGGAGAATACTGAGCCCATTAAACATCAAAACATCCAGCAGACCATAGTCACACAGCCGGTTGGTTTTTGCTTATTGATTTGCGAAATAATTACATTACTAGTCTCATCCTAATCCATTTGTTTTCATGTTTCACAATTATGTGGTGGTAATGGGTCTTGTTTCCTGAAAATGAAAAAGCTGCCGATAATTCCTTGTTTGTTCCACCTCATTATCGTCAATGTGGATGCGGCTGAGGCAATTTGGGGCCTGTGGAAATTGAAAATTCTAGATTTTTCACGACCTATTTGCAAGACACTTTCTCCGTTTATCTCGATTGGTTTTATTCGCTTGCCTTTCTTCAGATTTTGAAAAATTGAAATTCGGTTTTAAGAAGTTGAAGGAGGGAACTATTTTTGAACTCAAAAAGCAGTTTTAATATGGTTTGGGCACCTCGAGTTTGAATTTCATTCCAGCATGAGAAATTCAAATGACTAAATTTTGATTCCCAAGTGCTACATTTCGAGCGTATTCCAATAAATCTATAGGATGCTCAGCTGTTGTTCATTCCTTTTAGCTCCATTTTTTATCTCATAATCTGATTTGTCAATCCATCTGCTTTGCGTCTCTGTAGTCTTGATACTTCAGGCTCCGACGAGCATCTTCATCTCGGACTACATCGAGAAGCCTCCCCTTCCAGTAGCTAAATCACCAGTACCAGTAGCTGAAACACCGCCAGAAGTTAAGGTAAATATTATTTTTTTGCGCTGAAAGATCAACTAGTTGTTTATGTAGTTCGTTTTTTTTTGTCAAATTCTTAAAATTCAGTACGTTTTAAGGAAAAGGAGCGCATCAAAGCTGAGGAGATCACATGTGAACTGCAGCCCAGTCCAACTCCTCCGAAAAAAGCTGGTTTGTTGCTTATTTCTTGTTCGAGATAAGATTTATGGTTTGAAAGCAGCGTTATCTCCCATTCGCAACCCTCCGGGAGGTCCAATTAACTTTTGAGTCGCGTCAACTTCGACATTCACTTTTTTTTATCAGTTCAGCTTGAAGCTTGTTATTCTTTTTGATTTTTTTTGCATGCATAACTAGAATGTATTCCACCAAGTCGCAGCATTCACCTTGCTAATATATTGGTTACCTCTTCGTGCCGATTTTTTCCTGAGCAGTGGCGTTCTACCAAATTAAGCGCATAGGGTTACATTATTTACTCACCACGTAATATTCGAAGTCATAAGAACTGAATTATTTACTAAAGGCGGCCCAAATGAGCTCATTTGGGTCTCAAAACCAGTTCGAAACTCGTTAGTGATTTGCATTTTTTCGATTTCTGGTTTTCTCTTATCTCTTTGATTTGTGGTTTCAAGGTCAAATTCAACTCAGATTTGGTATTCTAATCACGTTGTTCTCATAATATGAAAGTCCTTGCTCAATGGCGTAATGTAGTTCTTGCAGATATGCGAACCGGGGAGGATTTCTCGCAGCTTCTTGAGTCCGTTCGATCCAGACTCCAGGCGTCCACCAATCAAGTGCTCGCTGAACTTGAAGAGGTTGGTTGGTAAAAACTTATAGTGTCTGTTCTACATGCTCAGCAGGTCAAGTGGATCACAAAACGGGTTTCTAAGGACTATCAATAGGCTGCGGCTTATCTCCCGTACGCCTACGCTTGTGTGCCTTATAGGATTTGATTGTGGCCACTCCTGTGCCACCTCTTAGCTTGACAGCTGTTTGCATATGAGATTTGAACGCGTTTTGTTGTTTTAAGCTTCGCCGAGTGCAAGCAAAGTGTTGCCAAGTGTACCATGAAATTAGTAGGGTTTTTTGATGCAATAGTTTGGAACAAAGTCAACGATCGCTTTACGCACTGAAGAGCATTCGTTGTTTGCTGCTTTTTTCTTCTGAATTCTTCTCTTACTGAAGGAGTCATAAAAAGAGCAAAAGAAATGCTACAAGTGGCAGCGAACTTCACATGTTAGGTTACAGTATCTCTTGCAAACCTTTGGGACTTTTGATGAATTCTTCTTATGTATGTTCTGCTGCACAGCAAACATAACTTGATCTTGTGACATTTCTAAGCCACAGAATAGCTGAAATTGAGTAAGTGCACTTTTTGTCATAGGAGGAAATGCTTAGAAGAAACTTTTCAGATAACCACATTCATTCTTCTGAAAATTACTATTAGTAGGAGCGGAAAAAACCTCATTTTTTATCAGGGTTGATTCAAGTAAGCTTTTTTCTCTTTCTCGCTGATTTCGTTTCGTTATAGATTGAGGGAATGCCTGAAGAAGCTGCGACGTCCATTCGAATGGCGGCTGGAAAAGCGCAACTACTCACCCGTAAAAAATTATCCAAGTTTGAGGAACTTGTGAAGAAAAACTTGGTAATGCTTGATTTTTTGGATAATCTTGAGCGGTCTATCAGAAGTTTGTTGTGACAGAATCCGGTGGAAGGAGACCCACAGCCTGCAACTCTTGATGATCTGGAGGGATATTGGGCTTTGGTTGAAATTGAGCTGCAGGACATTGATGAGTGTTTTGCTAAGGTGAGTTCGACTTTTGTGAGCTTGCCTGCCCTTATAAGCATGGTGGAAGTTCCCGATGCGTCTTCTCAAATTTTCACGGTCATCTCTTTGTACACCGTACGGTATATGGGAATCTGTGCATTCCTCTTCTCGTGCGAGAAATCCGCTTTATATTTTTCTTTCTTCAATACAAACATTGTTTTAAACCTCTTATGTCTACCAGCACTGAAATCGAGATTTCCTCACAATTTGTCTCTTTCTTTTTTCTTTTCTTTGTTTAGGCAGATCCTTGTTTGAGATTGGGCTAAGGAGGATTTCAAGAATTCCAAAAAAATTCTCTATCACAGGCCTTTATAAACAAATTTAGACTCGAAAGCCTGAAAGCTGTAAAAAGTGTTAAAGACGCTGAAACCGGAAATTTCCAGGTGGACGCTTATCGTAAAGGTGGCTGGCAAGTAAGAGAACCTGAGGAAACGGAGCAAACTATTCTTGCTGCCAGTAATAATAACAATAATGTGCCGAAGAAGAGAATGGCTCCTGTTCGACCTGCTGCTCCTCCTGTCGATCCAGCAGAAAAAGCTAAGCAATTGGAAAAACAGGTGAGTAGCCTACTTTGACTGTGTTGATTTTATTCTTCGGGAGCATGTTTGTTTACTAAGCAATTTTGTGTCACAGTTCACGCCCTATTAGACACATAGCAGTAAACAAAATGATGTCTTGAAACATGTTGATAACAATGTCTCCGAAATTTTGCTATTTTTCTTTGGTCATCATTTCCCGTGAATGAAAAAAGTATGTCTTTGGCATATAACCCATTGGTTTTCCAAAAATGGAAATATTGTTATATCTTTTCCAGAAAGCGGCCGCGGAAATGCGAAGAAAAGCTCTTGCCGAAGCAAAACAACGGGCTCGTGCTGCACAGCAAGCACAGAAACAGCAAGCAGAGGAGAAAAATAGCACTGATGCCTCGCCAGAAGTCCTTATGGTCCTGTAGATAATATAGCACCTGCTGTAAGTACAAACATCCTCCAATAACTTGCAAATGTTCGTTGTTTGTTGTTATCTCATCCCCATTGAAGAAAAAATTATCGCGCCCTCTTTCGGACATATGAAACTTTACCATTCAACCGTGTACCTCGCTTCTGTCCTCTCTACCTTGTTTAAACATCGCCTTTCTTTTTTTGTATTCTCTTAGAAAATGTGCTGACAATCATGTGCTTTATGAGAGAGCGTGTGTTTCCTCCTTGACGAACAAACCATTGCCTGTGGCTGTACTCGGTAATATACGTCAATTCTATTTGTCTTTTCTTCTTCGTCGTCGTCGAAAGGATCTTATTTCGTTTTCTTTCATCAATGTGCTATGTAAAATATGCTCGCTATCGACAAATCGGTGAGACTTTAAGTATATTTCTGTTTATGTTGAAGAGAACAAAATATTTCTGTCTAATTTGTTTGCTCAATGCTTGTTCGCTTTTTTGTTCCGAGTTTGCTAAGTACATCAAAAGCGTTGATTTGTGGATATTAATAATAAATTATCTTATGCATTCCATATCACCAACATCCAATGCGCTTTCATTGTCGCACTTTTTTGGTCCTTCGGCGAGAGAGCCCGATTGGCTGATGCAAGTTCAAGGAAGGTTTCTGACCCTACGATACTATGTGATGAGGGTAGATAGCTTTGTATAAAATTTCTTTGCATTCAAATAGATTACAGACTGACCGTGTTTTTTTTTAAGCTTTGTAAAAAATTTCTTTGCATTCAAATAGATTACAGACTAACCGTGTTTTTTTTTTGTGCATTAGCATGAATAGGAAAGCTCTTTTTTGATTTTTACAATAAATTCAACATATTCAAATCATTCAACCCCGATGACGTCTACTTATGAATTTTCCACTTTTTTCTAAACAAAGTATAAATTGAAGGTTTGATTTGTAGACCTTGACGTAGAAGGACTTCGGATTGAAAAAAAACATATAAACAAGTTTCAGATAGATGGTGACAAATATGCTACTAGCTGAATGGTCCAGGATCAGTGGGAAACAAAGGAGTGTGGACCTAATTTTTTGATATATAGACTGAAAAAAATCATCTTGATTTAATGTGACCCTCAATGAAAACAGGAAAGTGTGGCAACACAGGAAAGTTGAAGAGCTCATATCGTTGAAGCGACTGGTACAGACACAAAGCTGCTTTTTTTCTCAGTCTAAAAGGAACCTATAGTCAGTGCAATATGCAGGTGAAATCGAGAGGAACTTATGATCTTCCAAGCAAATTCACATTTTGAAGCAAACAAAATGAGCAATGGAATGAGTCACATTCCATTGGACAACCCATTTTAAGCATCTGTCATTGAGCTACCGCAGCTTTTTTCCATCATACCTTGGGGAATAGTCCAAGCGGTGCCAGGCTGCTCAGAAACTCGCTGGTACATTTGTTATTATTTAAACCATCGCTGGAGCATTAGCCTTTGTCATGAGCTCCCCCAAAGATTTTCTTCAGCACTTCTTTTTGATTCGGCAGGCTTCAAACTTTGAAATTTCAGTACTGATTCATCCAAGAGGGTAGAATCAGTGGGCTGCTGATTACGAAGACTCATTGGTAATATTCTCCAAAGATTAGTTCCGTCGTTTGCAGGATTTGTCAAAATTCTGGGACTAATGAAGGGAAGTACCAAGAAACGAAGAATTTGGTGCACATCTAATTCAAGCCGTTATAAATACAGTTCAGCTTTGAAATTTCAAAATTGTGCCACTTTGGCTTCAACGCAGCCCTTCAAATGTCAGCGAGTCCACCTGTCATGGCAGGCAGGTAGTTCGTATGTAAAGTTCGTCCCGCACCTTCTTTCTGACATTTGCAGCTTGATGGAGCAAGTTTTTGGCTATTTTTGCAATGTTTAGGCATAAAAATGTTGGAATTGCAAATGACGGCATTTGTACGTCGCAAGAAAAGCGAAAGATCATCTTCTAAAGAGTATCAAAATTGTTACCTCGACCTAATTCAGATAGACGCCTATATTCAAAGCATATGGGAAGATTATAGCCCTGGGCTTAGTGCCTGCTGCGCTTCTACAGCTTTCAAATTTGTTTCGAAGAAGATGGCCATTGGCACGCGCTTAATTTTCGCAAACTTTTGTTGAAAACTAATACATTGTGATAGCGCAAAGCCTCCTCTTTACTGTATGCAATGAGACGTTACAAAATATAACCTTCGATTCAACTGACTTGGCTTCGGAAAGGCGGGATATTGTGATCTATAGACTGCTGCGTGACGAAGGCGCAATGTCTTCGGGCGCGAACGCGTCTTTATTAGCCGCTGAGTGCATGAGGCACAGTATTTACAACGGTGAGAATAGGCGCGCGCCGCGTTAGCACCCGCTCAACTAATACTGCTTCTGCGCCTTCGTCGTGCGGTAGCCTTTAATTAAGGCTGCTCGCGCCCGCGGCGCACCTACAGCGCTTATCGAAAGCAGTGTCGCTTGCATTAGCATCTCCAATCCCGCGCTGGACTCAGCGTCTCTTCCGCGAACATGCTCTCTAATCTCTTCTAATTAATTGAAGCTCCGCCCTTCTCACGCTCGCCCTGGGAAAATGACCAGATAGCATGTTCTAGGAGGAGATGCAGAGTCCAGCGCGGGAGTGGAGATGCTGATGTAAGCGACACTGCGTTTGATAAGCCCTATACTTCTCTCTAGGGGGAGTGCTCTCTGATCATTACCTAGCCTTAATCAGGTCATGAGGCCCCACCTTTTCGAAGCCAAGCTAGTTGAATCAAATGGTACTCAGTACTAATTTATCATTCTGTAGAAACTAGTTTGATAACTTTAATTCTTTTGAAAAAATATGGCAGCCATTTTTGGCTAGTTGAAATGTATTCTGTAGGATGATCGCAGCATCAGTGCCATGAATGTGGAATAAAAATCATCATAGTTTTGCAATTTATACGTTAGTTTACAATCGCACCCTGTATTCTTCTCGACTTCCATTCCTTCTGCCTCCCCCACAATCAGTGCCCATCAAGAATTACACCAAGACAAGCCTGCAGTCTTCACATTGGTTGTGAATGAACAATTGTGAGATTACCTCCAAAATCTATCTAATTTTCTCAGACGGTTACAACGCTTCCGGCATATGCGCGCGATGAATCGCCCACAATTAGTATTCCCGATTTCACAAGCGTCGGCATTGAAAACTTTTTTCAAGCAGTTTTCTTAATGAGAGTGTCATGCCCTCTCAGTCTTCAATAAATCCTTTCAATAGCTCTAGGTGTGGTAAAGGACCAAACAGTAGGCGCGCAGGCCTGATCGCCGGTATAGAGTTATACGGTCGGTATTAATCTTTAAACCCTACGTGAGCGCCGCAGAGTAGTTTCTCGACCAGCGTACCGTATAACCCGCTTAGAGAAAATTCCGACATGCCTGCATTCTTGACTATCAAAGCCACTGTAATCACGCAATATAATGCTTTAGAAGGGTAGATAATATTGGGTTGGCTAATAAATAAGTTCGTTTTGATATGCAAATTCAAAACTTCATAACAATTCATGTAACAGCTATTCAGCTAAGCTTTTTTCTTGAGAAGGTAGTCTCAAGCCTCTACTCTTGAATAGCAAATAGTCAAGGTTTTCTGTTACCAAAAATGACAGTTATAACCATATATGGTCAGGCTTCTCAAAAATCGCTTTTTTAACTTTCAAACTTTCGTTCTCAGCCTGCAGTGAGTACAAAAGCGAGTAATTTGGTGGCTGGTACATACAGCCTCTGGCTAGGTGGCGAACTACAATAGAGGTTGCGACCTGCTGTTTCTGAATTTCTGCAGTCAAAATTGTAAAAATTTCCAGGCATTTGCGCGTGAAGGTCAAATTTTGGGCATTCCAGATAACTCGAATTTGGCCATCTATGGCCATGCAGATAGTTGGAAATTCAAAAATTTGTTGTATGGGTAGCGAATCTACACATTACGACTGACCAGTTCGCTTTTCGGAACGTGATTTTTCGAATTTTTGAGGAAAAAATCTGACTAATTTTCTTTCCTTCACCATTTCATTATCAGACAATTTGATTTTTAGAAAAGAGAGCCAACCATCCGATTCTCCTTGATTTGCTCTCTCCAAAGGCACCATATATACACACAAAAACTGATTTGTGACAATTCTACAAACCGCTAAAAACGACCGAATTTATTTTTTAGCCAACCTAATAATTATGTGAACATGTCAATAACCCTCAGAGATATGAATCGGTGATACCTTTTACCGCAACTCCACAGATGGCCTCACAACACGAAAATAGCATAGTGTTGATCGGCATGTCAAAAAATCCCTCCGGACAAATTTTGAGAGATCTTCGATTTAGAACTTTGAGCTTAGGATATGAACAGCGCCGTCACTCGCATCTTACAAAAAGTGATAGTAACAAGACACACTATCCATAATGTGCGTACCCATTCTAGATGCCATATTTCGTTACATGCTTGAGGAAATTCACCCTGCTTCATTCAAAAGTATCACCGGCTTCCAGATTGGTGTGGAGGTTGGAGTCTTGCCAACTCACAGCGTGGCGGTTTCTTGCTAGCGAGAAAGTACGAAAAGTAATGCTATAATGTGGAGGTTCCACAAGTTTATCCTTGTTGTTAGGCAAAGTCTGCAATACACCTCCACACGAATTTGGGAGCCGACCAGAGCTGGATGAAATTATGAGAAACTAGTTGACTTACCCAGCTCCGCCCGGCCCTGTCATTATTATATTCGTAATCAGCATGCTCGATTACCCCCCTGTGCCAACTCCCAGCCCCGTAGCTCAAATTTTGCAAAAAATCGATAAAATCGATATCGATCGATGACGAAAAGTAGCCTAGGACACCCGCCGGGGCCCGAAGTGTATGTGTGCCAAGTTTGGTCCGGATCGGTTCAGAAATGGAATTTTCTATTCGGAGCATACGTGCACACATACAGACAGACATACCGACAAACAGACATTCAGCTTTATATATAAGAAGATGGAACCGCTTACCCTGAGAGAGCGGCCATACTGTTCCTGTGGTTCCTGTGATTCCTGCAATTCCTGCGATTCCTGTGATTCCTGCGGGCCTTGTAACAATGTGTATTAAACAATGTGTACTGAAATTAGCAAAGCTCTCCGTAGTGCGGCACGTCGGAAGGCAGGGAATCACGGGAATTGTAGGAGTTACAGGAATGGCGGGACACCTCCTGGATTAGTATGGCCGGTCCCTGAAAATCGTCCCGCGGGGGAAACGGCCCTTTTGAACCGCTCGCTATCACAGCGCGCCTCTGATTGGTCAACATATCCACTGCCATAACGAGTTATCGTTCATTTTTGTACATCTTTCGGGTCCAACATGAGGATAGGTTTTGGCACAGGTATATTACATACTTTGAACTAATAATTCTCCCGTTGACTGTGGGCAGGGGAACGAAAGCCGCCAGCTTCGGTCGCGTGCGCGGACTGCTGTCCTGGAACGACATACAACGTTGCGAAAAGACCAGTTAGCCGCGAAACACGGCTCAAACTGGCGGCTTTCGTTCCCCTACCCGTTGAGTGTAAATGCGACTTGTTAGCTTTGCCAGCCGCGCCGCACGCGGCGAGACGAGCGTCGCGCGCGGAGGGTTCAAAAGGGGACATGTCCCGCGGGACATGGCCGATGACGTGCAATATGAAATGTGTCTGTAACCACACAATTCAAGATAGAAGTGTGGCTCAACCGCTTGCGGTTGTTACCTCGCTGAATATATCTACTTTTATATATAGCACGAACGATGGAAATTTATCATAACCAAGAGTGGGCCAGGGATGAGAGGTATTCGTCGTTTTGGGCTCACTACATGGCCGTTGAGAAGTGGCGATTGGACCATGCAAAAATGGCGGAGGTCGCTTGTCGGGTAGTTCGTGGCAAGGCGAAGCCCTATCAAAGAAGGAAGACAGGTGATTCAGCTTGGTATGATTCCGCTTCATTCATCACTTCTACATTTTACTTTTCTTTTATATACTTTCGTTCACTATACTTCATGACACACTTCTTTCATACTTCATTTACTTCTTTTTTTCTTTTGCATCTTAACAAAATTCTTGTAGAGTATGACAACTTCAAGGTAACGGTATCCTTTGTTTTCCAATTTTTGAGTATCGAATCTCCTACTCGTTTGCTTTCAGGACCTCGTCATGCTTGTAAGAGCAGTCCGGTAAAGAGCGTGTCTACGAGAACGGACTTCGAAGCTGCTACTACTGAAAATGACGATGTAGTGCATGAAAATATTCCAAGGACATCAGGTGCCATGTTTATCCTTGTCTCTCATCTTCTTTTTGTCCTGCGCCATGACTTTGACCAATTTGCTGACCCCGGGGTTCAATAAACTAATGGACTTTTAGCACCTCTTGAAGAGGAAGAAATGTCAGAAGAGATGGTTGCTTTCTTCAGAAAGACGATAGCGCATCGAAAATCTCGTGAGTTGTTCATGCATTCCTACTATTTTTGGTCTTATTTTGATTTTGCTAGGTGCTGCCGAAAAAGCGGAAGAAAAGCGCCTCGAAGCTGAAGAGCAGGGTGACGGACAGGGACATTGGATACGCTTGAATAATGATGATTACGTCATGGCCGATAAGAGTGGGTCCTTGGGACTATTAATTCCTTTTCAGCCTGGTTTCGTTTCCATAGTTGAATGATAATTTAACATTTTAACATTTCGTAGCCGACTGTTTTTTACAGTAGGCGTTTATGGTGTGGGAAAGCGAACGTTTGCCACTCCTGACGAGGCTGCGAAGACACAGCAGCGGAGAGATAATGCAAAGATGATGTACGGATCAGCTGCTGAGCGAATTCTCGCAATGGAAACCTTGGTTGACATGCGATTTGAGCAGGAATACGCAAAGAAGAGACCACCGCTGTGGCCCAACATTCCATTGAAGTTTTGACGTTGCAATAAATTCGCTTGTGAAAATTCACTTGTTTGCTAGTATACTTATGTTGTACATATCGATGTTCTACTAATGTGTTTTCTTATGGCGACATATGAATCATTGAATCAGCTCTTCTGCTTGTGATAATGTTATGCACTGATATTTTGTCTGGATTTTTCCCCCTTTTATACCAGTACATTTGTAGATGGGCAAGAAAAGAACGCATGAAGAAGATGGAGAAGGTCACCAGCTTAAAAAGAAAATAAAAATGGTGAGTGAGAGTCTTTAGCAGTTTTAGGACCTGTTATCTGTCTCGTGTTGAATTTCCTGCTTTTAGGAAGTTCATGATGTAGATCAGGAGCCCGATTTGATTGTGTTGGAAGAGAAACCATCCAAGAAAAAGCACAAAAAAGAGAAAGACAGGTTACAAAAATCTCGCGTCAAGCAAGAGATGTCCGGAATAAATGAGCAGGTTACCGCTAATTTCTGGGTAGATTCTTTCGCGTTATCATATCACAAGAATCTGCAGAGTAGCTATCCCAGATGTACAGAAAGATATCTGTTTAGACTGAAAGTGGTTCTCAAAACAAGAAAGAATACAGGAAGAAGGCAAGAGGAATGAATTTATCGAGAACAGTATGCTTATTCCTTCTTCCAGTGAATAACGTTTCGGTTCTTCATTGGTTGCTTATTATGCTTACAGAGAGACATACTCGACTTTGACGAAGCTAAGAAGTTAATACTGACAAACAAAAAATGCGGATTGACGGTCGGGTTTTTTGCAATTTGTTTATGCAGAGCTGAAAGTATCAATTTGAGGCAGTACGCGAGAAAAGACATGTCACCTTACCCTATCATTTGATAGGAGGAAACGTGACGAAGTCTTGCGAATTCATAGCGAAAATGACCATTGGCAAGTATAGGACAAAGTGAGTTGTTTGCTGAATATTATCTAAGATCATACTAGTATAGGATTCGTCAAGGAAAAGGTATATACTTGTAGAGTCAGAGGAGTAGTGGTTTCTATAGGATCAGTACGTCTGGCCTCGCTTCCGCGAGTCATTGACGATCAGAATGTGTGCCATCTGGATATCTTTGTTACGCAAGCTGTGTTCAGGTCAGTGTTTCTTTATTTCTTTAGGAATATTTTGTAGATGTTATAATTACTTTCATTTCCATATGTGCTCAATGCTATTTTGACTTATATGTGTATGGAGTTACGTTGCTGTAATAGTCCCAAACCTATTTTTAGACCGATTATGGGTCAAATGTACGAAGCACGCGTCACACATATTGCTGATGATTTCTTGTCTGCGCTTATTCTGGAAGCAATAGCAATCAATATGCCAATTGACGATAAGTTTGAAGAAAAGTTGAAAGGTATGTCAATGGTTGATACTTCCTCAATCACTCCTATCAATATAATAAGTTCATTAGTGGAGTTTGATTATTCTATTCTCTCACGTTTTCCGTTTTTACTTGCAATATTGACAATGCAATTGTGTGCATGAGATGTGATCCCGTGCTAGTTTTTGTTGAGATGACGCGCATAAATCGAGTTTTTTCTGAGAGTATTGTATAGGGCTCTGCGTGATCGCAAGAGTCGGTGAGTCTGCAGCCATTGTACACACAGGATGCCACAAGCCCTGAAACCTGTTTAACAGTTCCCCTCTCAAAATCGTCTTAGATGATTGGAAGCTAGCATCTGATAGCAGAAAAGCGTTTGAAAGGAGAAAGATGACCGACAAAGCTCGATGCGCATGCAATGGCCGCTAACTCATCCATTCTCGCGATCACGCGGAACCTTATATCAGTTCAATGTTTGGTTGTTACTGTTACGCACTGTTTTTTCGAACGCTACTCAAAGTGAAACTTTCAAACAAGCTGAAGGTTCCCATTTGATTTCCAAAATGAACTCATTCATAGCCTTATCCCTAAAGTCTAGCACAATTTACGGTTAGTAGCCGCGGTGACGACAACATCCGGGAATAACTGCTAACTGAGAATGCCGATTACTAGCTTGCACGTAAATTTGACAGTAGGGCACACTGGCATTGCTTTCCTTTAATTCTTCAGCAGCGCAGGATACCGTGTCATACAACAAATTTTCTAGGCTAATCGTGTGTTCTTGTGGTTCTCCACCTTTACTTTTTCTGTTCAGGTATAGTTCTTGAAGTTAATGACATCATCGAAGTGAAGCATAACGCTATTACGATCAAACGTGGTATTTGCCAGCTCAAGGGGAAATTCGTGCGAATACTGAGAAAGGGGTGAGCATCTATCTATAGGTCAATTGAAAATCGTGACGGGGTTGACTGCGGTGTTTCTGCTCAAAGGAGCATAGAACACACATACAAAAAGGATGACCTCAACGCTCAATTTAGTCACTTCCACTGTCTGAAGATTACCATACGTAAGCAAACCATTCAAATAGTGACGAAAACCAATAAAATACGTTTGCCGGAAATGCTTGCGTGTCGCGCGCGCTCGCGCCATCGTCACGATTTTTCGAATGCCCTGTATCTTTTGTGTCCAAGAGTAACTATTGCTTATATGCGGGGAGTGGGCGGGGTAAAAATGAAGGAGGAGAAGGCCGAGATGTTATGGAGCACATGTCTCGCTTTATCTCTCTCAGTCGTGTTTCCTCGCTCAGGAGTACCAATGAAGAATTTTCCTTTGGCTCTGGAATCTTTGGTTGGAACTTTTACTATATAATTTTAGAGTGCCCAATGTTGAAAGCGCTGAGGCACCAATCAAGATAGAAGCGAAAGCTACTGGTAAGAAGGTAGTTTTTAGTGATTCTGATGTTGAACAGTGATCTCATATTGGTTGTTATTTCCCATCGTTGTTTATTGTTATTGTTGCTTTTCTGTTTCTTTGGCGGCAGATTTTATCATACGCGGGCCTTCAAAAGGGATCTTAATTTCTGAAAGACAGTACGGTTTCTTAGAATGCACTGTCTCCCGCTCAAGAATTAGCTAGCAGTCGACTTTTTAGCCAAATATAGGCAACCTTAAATAGCAGTTATTTTAGCCTAGTTAGTGTTTTTGCTAAAGTTGGCTTTTGCTTGAGTTTATCTATGAATCGGTGTTTACTTATGTTTACTAAAGATAGCTAAAATGTATTGCATTGTGATGTTTTTTTCGAAATTTGTTAAATAAATTTGTCGATTTATTCATGATGTACACGCACAATGTGCGCCAAAATAAACAGTAAGAAATAATACAATTTACTCGCTGGACTGTTCTCACCAATCGAAAGTAGAGCTTGCTCGATGTTTCAATAGTTCTATCCTTCTGCTGTGGCTCCGATCACCGCCTCCTCGAGTGAAGATACGATTTAGACGAATGCTGGAAAAGAAAGTCTTCTACTGCATCGCAAAAAGTTGTATATGACGGAGCTGGAAGAGCTCATATCAAGTTGCGATTCGCCCATCAAGGAGGACCCACCGTATGACTGCGACCGCTTCTGAAAGAATGTCTGCGGAGCGTCTTAGTGACGAGACCCGACTTCTTCCCGATATAACATGGAATCTGTCGCGAAGAACTTCTACACCAATCTCTTCCGCTCATCAGCACCCGTGCCGATTGTTGTTCCCACGGACCACCGCCGATATCTTTACCTGTTGAAGTGTGCACCGCGAATCAGACCATGAAGCTTACACGGCTCCAGGACCTATCATCTTTCCGCCGAATTTCCGCGAGCCGGGGGACAACTTCTACGCGAGTTTCGCGTCGCATCTAACATATTACTTTCAGAAGGAAAGGATTCTCGACCAGTGGAGAACTTCAACAACCGTCCGTCTCTTCAAGAAGGGCGAACGGGAGGATCTTCAGAAATACCGTCCACTTTTTTGTTTTTGAGTCACACTAAGTCGCATCTTTGGATTGCTGGAACAAACAAATAAGCACCAGTTAGACAAAGGTTTCGCGATTATAGTACTTTCCACCAGTTTTTGAAATATAACTTTTCAATAGCATCCCAACACCTCGAACAGTAATGTTGCAAGACCTGCATCATTTTTGGACAGCGTGATATCAAGAAATAGACAATGGCAGTAAGGAGTGCTATGCTCTGAAAACCATCATGATTTTGTGTAATTAGCAATTTGATCGTCTTGTTGCACAAAAGGTTACTATGGCTCTAGTGAGTTCGTTAGACTTGCGAACGTACCTCATCGCGTCGGACAACTTCCTCGTTCGCGTTTTCCAGTGGTATCCGGTCTGTTACCATTGTGGTCCGTCCTTTGTCGTCAAAACATTGAGTTTCCGGCCCTTCACGTTGGCGTATCTCCGAACCTCCTATGAAAGGCGTTTTCTCGTAGTTCTTGGAATCTTCTTCAGCGCAATCGTAGAGAGCGTTCGTATACCATGATCATGATATTACAGGAGAAGCCTATATCGAGAAAACCCCAGTTGATACTAATCATGGAATGGTGCTTTCTAAACTTTAGCTTTTTCCTCAGTTAAAAGTAGAACTTGGTACGTAGAAGGCCATGGCCTGATCCCGTGAAGGTCTTGAAACAATAGCGAATTTCGTCACGCAGTACCTTGTATTAAACGATGATCGATCAGTCTCGTTGTGGTACTCTAACGGGTGATTCCCACATTCAGCGGGATTGGAGTTTTTGGATTGCAACTTTCCTGGGATGGTCTGGTCGTCTAGATGGATTCGGATATGTCTCTCCTTGTTCGTTCCACTGTAGTCCATGGGTCTCCCGATGTGAGGTTCCAGGCAAACTTTTAACTTCGATCGACGATGATTTTGTAGAAGGCGTGTTCTTTTCTGTAGAACCTCTCCAAGATCGCATATAATGCCTCGAGCTCGTTCGTAGTAAGTTGATCTTGGTACAGTCAATGTCAATTACGTACTCCCTTTTGCATGGGAACTACGCATGCGCAACAAGTGCCTTGCGTGCGGACCTCCAGTGGATGAGGACAGTTTGAATGCCAAGCCATCGCGCGCGAACGTGGCGCGACGCTCTTTGCGCTTGAGGAAAAAGGAGCACATCATTGACACGGACTGTATGTACGCAATGATGACGGTCAAGACTGGGATTCATCCACGTCTTGATCGCCGTAAACGTCCGTTTTGGGTTGTTAGTTGTTTGGAAGAATCGAAATTCTTGACCATACTCGTGTTGACAAGAACATTCACGTCTCCGACTCCTCTACTGCCGCATCTCCCTAGGGGTATTTTATTTTCAAAATTGGCGTACAGAGGGTGACGTTTTCTTGTCTCGGTCAGTTCGGTGGCATCATATTTTAGGGATCGTTCAGACCGCGCACAAAGGCGCACAGAGGCGCACGAAGGCGCGTCTCATCTCGTCTCGTTTATCTCGACACTGTCAGGATCAAGGGGCTGCAGTACCCTTGCCTGAAGGTGTAGCGGTGTTACGGTGTATCATACATAGTGATTATATATGTTTATTACTAAAGATACAAAAACTAAACAATAGAGGTAGGGGGAGGGGAAGGGGTGTGTGTGAGTGTCCCTGATGGTCTCCAGTCCTCCCTTATATGCAGGTCCGCCTTACAACAATAACAGCGGTTAGGGCGGGGTAAGACATTGCATAATAAGTGATGTGATGCTACTCAATATTAGTCAATGTTATGCAATCTGATTAAATGATCTCATGACAGACACACACACACGCCTTCGTGCGCCTTCATTCGCCATCGTACGCCTTTGTGCGCCTTTGTGCGCGGTCTGAACGATCTCTTATCTTCTTTGCTCCCATCATCAAATCTTCGATGGATGCGCCCACTGCAGCGCCCATTGTGTTGCCAGAGGTAGGCGCCAGACTAACCGATTGCCTGCTTGAGCAGGGCGCTGCGCATTTACTGTCATTTGATGTCACGTCGTAGGGAAATCGAGTGGGCGTCCGCGATTTCGCTACAACAAAAACTTTTCACTGGTAAGCCCTTCTTATCAAATTCTCATTCTGCGAGACTTTTTATCATCTCTTCAAAGCTACTGTTGTTGCGAGCATCGCAAACGCTTCGATTTCCGTCCAACATGACGTCAGACGACATCAGTTTATTAGCTGCACAGCGTTCTGCTGAGGTAGGTGCCAGAGCAAGCGAATATTTTGTTCAGCTTCGTTCAGCTGCAAAAGGCGCACAGAATTAACGTTGATTCTGCGCGGGACCTGCAGCTGAAGCAGGCCTTGGCAGCAGTAGAGATTATGCAGCAGACATTAATTCTGCGTGCCTTCTGCAGCTGAACGAAGCTGAACAAAATATTCGCTTACTCTGGCACCTAGGTGGAGGACATTAGGTCGCCGAATTTGGAAGAGTCCCGCGCGGATTCCCTGCAGGAACGCATGTCCGCGCATGTACAAGGGTCCGTATTTGTCGCAAGTGACCGCGGGGACCGCCCTTTTTCGGCGACCTAATGTCCCCCACCCCTGGCACCTGCCTGAAGCAGGCAATCGGTCAGTCTGGCACCCACCAGACCGTTATAGGCCGTCCGCGCAGGGCGCGGAGAGTGCGCAAGGTGTGCACTGCGCGTCACTCCTCCTTACTCGTGCACTCTCGCCGCATGTTTTCTCTGCGCCTCTTCCAGTCATGTACTATCTTCACTGTGACTTGACAGCGTTGCTCTCCGAGCACAGTGAGGACGGATATCATTGTCCGGCTCGCAGAACATAGTTTGTTGGACTCAGGACCCTTTGCACGTCAAAGCTTATTTGTTGAGCCCGACTCCGAATCCGCCTCCCCTTATCTACAGAACCATGCCAGACTGTTTTGCGGTCGCCTCCCTTTTAAGGATAAGCTCAACGAGAGAGTACGAAATACAATGCTATAATGTGGAGGTTTAACAAATTCATTCTGAAATTCAGGAAAGTCCGCAACCCGCCTCCACACGGATCTGGGAGCCAATGATAACTCCGTTGCTTTTGCGAACTTTGCTTACAGACCCCACAGTCAAACAACCCCTTTTGAAAATGGCGTCGAGTGATTTGAAGCCAATACCTGATAGCAGGGAAGCGTTGGACATGAGAATGAAAAGTAAGAAAGCGTCGTGCGTGAGCAATGGCTGCCAATTTTAAGAGCTTTAGATCACATACAGCCCTACATCCGTGGAATGAGAAAGCTTTTGGTGGGCACAAGGAGTCTGGCCCTCGGCTCCGATTGCTTCTCCTACGCGCCACCTCGGACGCCTCAAGTAGCTTCACTAAATGCACAAATTCGATCTGAAATAAGTTAAGCATCGGGACTCGCATCGATTGATTATTTGCTCAATTGTCTAGCTTTCATCAAAGTGTTTTGGGACTATCATTTCAAATGTCTAGCTTATCTGTGCAAAGTTCTTTCCCATTCTCCTTGCTGACCTTGTTTGTGACCAGTATGTTGTGACAACCCCAACCAAGATAAAGAGTGGTGTTCAACAGTGGTGGTCCAAGAGTTTTTCCGGAAGGGAGATCGCCTTTGAGTGTAGGTGCGTGGCGATGTCTACGGATGTTCTGAGGTGCTTCCAAATTTTTTTGGGCTTATAACTTCGAAGCAGCTACACCTCCGCAAAATTCTTTGCAGAAAATTGATTTCAATACAGAAAGTTTATTATTTTAATTATTTACAGGTAGGACAAGTACATACACAATTTTATAAGAATTGAAAAAAAATTAGTACGCTCAAAAAAAATTTCGCCTTTTTTCGTACTAAACAGTTGTAAGTCAACTTTGGAAAAGAGAAATGATGAGGTGGCATTCTTGCATTTTCGGGCCATTTTGATTTCTCAGTTTTGAGCCTCGGAAAAATCAACAGATATTATTCGGTACTGCTATGTGTCTAATAATGACTAACCTGGAGTTCCGTAAAAATTTTTTGGAAGGAGATCTGTAGGGTGGCTGAAAAAATAAATATCAAACCCCGGAAAAATATTTTATATGGAGCCAAAAATTAAATTAAGCGAATCTTTGATGTTTCTTTTGTAGGGCTTGCTTCGCCCTATCGAAGGTATTTTCCTTGCTAGAGGAAAAAAAACAGATTGATTTATTGGAAAGGGGAGTTTACTTTTCAGACAACTTACATAGTATTAGGTTGGTAAGAAAGTTTTCGGACATTTTCACGCGAAAACTGCTATTTCTCGGGTTGTAATGCATTTACGAACGCG